AGGTTGGTGTATTACATTTTTTAAGAAACTGCTAAGCTGCTGTCCAAAGTGACTGCTTACTCTTTGGCATTCCCGTTCACAATGAATGAGAGTTGCCGTTCCTCAGTCTCTTCACCAGCACTTGGTATTATCAGTGAAAATTTTATTTGAACCATCCCACTAGGTACACGGTGGTATCTCATTGGGGTTTTAATTTGTATTTCTCTGGTTACTAATGATGTTGACCATCTTTTTTTTTGTGCTTCTTGCCATCTAAAATGTCTCTTTAATTCTTTTACCCATTGAAAAACTGGATTTTTTGTTTTCTTATTGAATTTTGAGGATACTTTATATATTCTGCTGGAAAAAGATAGTGTTCTACAATTTTCTCTTTTAGTCTTATCTCTGTCAGATTTTGGTTTCAATGTAAAGCTTGCCCCCGCTAATGAGTTGAGAAGTGATCCCGTCTCCTCTATATTCTTGATGATTTTGAGGAGCATTGTTACTTTTCTGTAATATTTGATAGAGAATTTTCCAGTGAAATCATCTGTGCCTGGATGTTTCTTTGTTGGAAGATTTTAAAATACAAAGTTGATTTCCTTTAAATATGGAGATATTAAGGCTGTTAATTTATTCTTGAGAGAGCATTGGTATTTTATATTTTTCACAGAATTTGTACATTTCATCAACATTGTCAAATTTATAAAGATAGAGCTATTTGTATATTATCCTCTTAATGTCTGTGGGATGGCTCCATTATCTTTTTTTTAGTTTTCTCAGAGATCTCTGATAATCTCTCGAGGTTGAAAACTGTCCTGCACTCGGGGGGTGGGAGGGGAGGGATTGGGGTCAAAATGGGGGGGTTGCAATTGTATGGGGAATATAAAAAAAATAAAATTAAAAAAATACAATATAAATCAGAGAACAGAGAGACAGAGAGAAGCACTAAACTTCTGGTCTGAGTGTAAACCAAGGAGATCTCCATAGCATTTTTTTCCAGGGTCAAGAAGATTCTGATCCCAAATATTCTTATCATTAATGGCTGAAATCCCAGAAGAAAAACCATGTTTTTAAAGCTAAATCATTTCTTCTGTTAAAAATACAAATGGACTCAGAGCATGGAAAAGGGGACAGGTCTGTGGCACTTTTTGCCTACATTTAGAGCTACTTATAGTTGTTTTGTTCCAAGTACTCTCCTGCTCCAATCCAACAGACGCTGCTGCACGATACCATTGGAGTAACCTGCCTGAACTGCAGGTGGTGCCACACCACAGCGCCAGAACCTTCAAGAGTACCCCTTACCTACCTACAGGAGAAAATTCAAAAGTTTTATCCTGGAATTCCCATTTCAATAGTCTTGTCCTAGTCTCCGGCCTGTTATATCTCAAATACATGCCTTTTATGCTCTGTAAAAAAAAAATAAAATAAATTATTGTGGAACATCTTTCAAAACCCCCCCAAAAAATAAATAAATAAAAAATGAAACTTAAGTAGAAAAAAAAAAAAAGAAAACTGTCCTGCACTCATGTTCCTCAATCATTTTCATCACTCGTCTTGTTCCTCGCGTGTCATCAGCAGCTTTGCCATAGGTGCTGTGTCCATGCACAACCCCAGGCCTGTGTGGGAGCACACTCCTCAGGGGACTCGTGTGCACATCCCCCTGAGAAGCACCACACACTCACTGGTACTTCTTGCCTCATGTACTCCTCTGCCTCTCACCAACTCATTTCAATTTTGTTGACCTTCTTGACTTTTCTGGAACCTTTCAGGCATATTTCTACCTCAGGACTTTTGCACTGGATGGTCTGTTTGCCTTTACGACTCTTCTCTCAGACAGCTACACAGTTTGCTCTCTCCTCAGTAAAAGAGGAACAACCTTCTCCCCTCCTCTCCCCTCCCCTGACCCCCTTCCTTCCTCCTATTTCCCTTCCTCTTCCTCTTTGCCCTCCATGATCCAACAATGACCTCACAGTTCTCACATTTAACTGGAAGAGACTGGGAAGCAGACCACCCTGCAGTGTCTCCCTCCCCATCTGTCTCCACCTGCTTCCTGATCCCCTGGATGATAGAAAACTGCTGTGAGAATTGTTTGGACAGAGAACATTACCAAAAAAATTATATGTGTGTGTGTATATATATATATTTCCCCCCCCCAACATTTGAAGGAGGGGGAGGTGTCTCCTAGAGATTTTGGGTTCCATTTTACACTCAGGTTGTGGCAGTTTCTTGGAGGCCTTCCACTCTGTCTCTGCCTTTTTGGTGTTAATTGTTGGGATCAATGCCGCAGCAATTAAATCATGTTTACTGCAGCCACCACACATCCGAGGCTTAAGTGTTGCTAAATGTCACTTTCATGCTCCCCAGTGTATGGTGTGTAATTATAACTGGTTCACTACCTTCTTTGTGAAGGAGGCAGATGCTTTTAGCCTGAAAAGGAGAATAGAAATGAATTTTTTTTAACCTTACAAGAGTGCTCATTTCCTGAGGGGTCCTGGGATGGAGCAGGAGGTACAGGACACAAGCTCTTCATCATGAACCACGTTGCTCCTAAAATGGGCAGGACCCTTCTGTTACGGGGCAGGAAGAGGGGCACCTCAGAACCCCCAAACCTGCCCATTCTAAATAGGTTCTGTCATCTGCTGCGTCAAGACAAAACATATAAGGCCTTTAATGGAAAAAAACTTTAATACAATTAGTGTGCAACGAAGAAAAGACAAAGAATATAGTTTTCAAAATCAAGCACGTGAAGTTACCCATCCCCTCATGGGTAAATGCCCAGCCAAACAGGGTTGGCCCAAAGCAGGGCCACCGAGGCCTGAGAGCCTGCTACAAGTCTAAATAAAGCCCCTTCTAGTGGGTACCCATAGAAAAGGGTCAGAAACAGCCAGACAAGTCTGGGAGGAAAAGAGCAAAATCAAAATCAAGATAAATGCTGCCATTGTTAACCTCTGCAGGGGTCTCTCACCCACATCTGTTTCAGCCAGTCCAAGACCAAGAAGCAAGCATAGTTTCTTCACCTCTCTCTGCTTTGTGTGCCTCTTCCAGGCCTCCTTCTTGCTCCCCATCCTAATTCCTTCCTTCCCCAGTCTCCTCTCCAGCTTCTTCTCCCTGCTCAGCTCCACCCTCCCCTGGATGGGGCAGGGAACCTGGAACCTCCCCTTTCCCTGGGGACCACCCTGTCACACTTCTACCCCTGCCGGGTGTGAGGGGCTTCTGAGATTAAATTCAGAGACAAGGACAGATGGGAGAATTGGGAATCAGAGTGACTGCCCAGGCAACTGTGAAACAGGGCACCTGCAGGTAATTTAACATGTGTGACTCCAGAAAGGAGCCCTGGGCTGGAGTTCATGCAGTTTTGGGTTTGTAGCTTGGTATGTGACTTCATATAAGTCACTTTGATGCTTTCATTTCATGTTTTATCATCTGTCAAGTGGGAATAATAAATCATGCCTGATCTCCCGCCATTAAATTCTCCTTCAATTCCAAGCTATTTAGAGCTACCTGCTATATCCCAGCACTAGGAGATATAGTAAGACGCAGTTCTTGCCCTCAGAGAACTTTGGGTCTAAAGCAGGAGTTGGAAAGCTGTGACCCATGGACCAAAGAAATGTGATCTGTGGCCTGTTTTGTACAGACTGTCAGCTCAAAAGGGATGTCACATTTTAAAAGGGTTGTGAAGAAAGAAAAAAGAATAAGCAGCAAAGTGTGTATGTGGCCCATAAGACCCAAGATATTTACCTGCTTCTGTAAGGAAGACTTTCTGTCAACCTCTGGTCCAGACCCCCAGTCTGTCACTCACTAACCGCACGTGGCTACTGAGCTCTTGGAATGTGGCTGCTAAGTTGAAATGTGCCCTGAGTTTAAAATAGATCTTGGATTTCAAAGACATGTGAAAAATAGCCCATTAAAATTTTTTAACACTGATTATATGCTAACCTGATAATATTTTGACTATATTAGGTTAAATAAAAGATATGATTAAAATGAATTATATGAATTTCTTCTAAAACTGTGGTGTAAGAAAGTTGAGTCACATGTGGGGTTCCCATTGTGTATCTGTCAGATAATACTAGGCCAGAGGGGAGTCAGTGCAAGACCCGAAACTCAGATCTGTTGCTCATCAAGTGTGCTATTTGGAAAATGACTTAACTTAGCCTCAATTTTTCATTTCTAAAAGGGGAGGGCAGCAATACAGCTAATTGATAGAGTTGTTTTGACATTCAAGTGAAACAATCTATTGAAAGCATTTTGTGAGGTGTGGATTGCTATAAAGGTATAGCTGCTTATTGGGTTCAGCCACCCCTGAAAATAGGGGACTATTGAGCACTAGTCCCCTCCAGGGATCCTCTGTGTATTTGGGGCACGCTCAGTGCTCCCCCACTTTTCATCAGCCCCTTGGGCTCTCCTCTGGCTCCTGCACCCCAGCCCCCTTAGGGTGTGGATTTGTAACATTTAGGGTTGCTCCTTTTTTTTTTTTTTTTTTTTTTAAAGATTTATTTATTTATTTATACAAGCACTGAGTACAGTCAGAGGCATGGGAGGGTGAGAGAATTCACCAGAGCCAGAGGGGAGAGCAGAGCAGACAGGGTGACAAAGCACACTGCTGAGGGGAGCAGCGGGTGGCAGGAGAGGTCTGTGAGACATGTGGGACCCTCGCCCTTCAGCCAGGGATCAAATTTTCTGCTGCAAAGGCTGCGGGCAGATTCACAACCCAGTGCTCAACTGCTGCGCCACCCGGGAGGCCCAGGGCTGCTCCTTTCTCTTGGAGTACCAAAGACTTCAAAAATCCTAATGAAAACTGGAGAAAGACAATGGATTAGGAACCAGAGTCCCCAGACAAATGGGAATAAAATCCCAAAGAGTAACATTAAGGTGTTTCACTGGTATTATTTCATTTAATACAATACAGGAACCCACCAATTTTGTAAATTTGTGTTCACCCACATCATTTATACCAAAGACCAAATTAGTCCTGTTTTTGCTAACCAGAAGAACTCTAAAGACAATTTCCACTTTTACAGCAAAGGGTGAAATTGAAAAATCATGGTCAGCATTGGCAGGAGTGGAGAGTGGTCCTGCCTAGCTCCTTCCTGGAACTCCCTACAGGCTGTGTAAGTATCCTAGCATCCCTGCTTCTATGATGCATTAGTGTGATTTTAGGTTTGATGTGCTATTTAGTATGAGTTGTTTGGTTATTTTGGGGGGTTTGAGAACACTTAAAATGTTTCCATTTAAATGAATGGTAATTGCTTTTCTTGCTTCATGCCATTTAGCATGGGAAAGGATTCAGAGGAAACCTCTTCTTTTGGATAGTGGGGGGAACCTGTAGCAGGAGGATGAGGACCTCAGGTTTCCATTTTACAAATGAGGAAATCGAAGTGTGGAGAGGGAAAGTGACTTTTCCAGGATCTTTTAGCTGGTAGGTGGCAGAGTCTGGGTCTGATCCCACATCTGACTCGAGTGTAGTGTTCTTCTGGTGACCTTGAGTCGCTCAGGGTCCTTTGCCTGTCCTTGCACTAGGATGCTGCAGGTAGGCAAAGCAGTGCCTTCAGGGGTCATCCACCTGGGCTGGTGGGCATAGGACCAGGAGTCCAGATTGAGATTCTGTCCCACTGCTGCCCTTTATTAACTGGGCCAAACTGCTTCCATCTCAGGCTCTGAGGTCCTCATCCGTTGGTGAGGTGTGGCATTGTCACCCTCAGCTGCTCTGGGTGCTCATGTTATAGGAATTATGATGGAAGGCCAAGGGTGGAGACCCGCAGTGCCAGCCCAGGGTCCACGGGAGGGGTTTAAAAATGGGGCTCCTGGGCCTACCTTGGGAATGTCTCCACAGGGTGAGGTTCCAGAATCCGTGTTTGGGAAAACTTCAGTTCAGTCTTTAGGTTTAAGAACCAGTTGGTCTGAGGTTGTGTACTAGAATTTTGAAATTAGCACTTTCGATGCAATGGCCTCCAAATCTATATAGTTCTTTCCTTTTGCTTATATACCTAAGGCTTGTCAGCACCAATTTTAAAATATCACTGCGACCCAACTGTTCCTCTTCACCTCTTCTGACCACCATCTTTGGCCAAGACTCTGTGGTCTGTGGCTGGTGCTGTGGAGAGGCAGCCTGGTGGGCAGGTCGGAGGCAGAGGACCCCGTTCAGAGCCTCACTGACACCCTCTCTATGCCTCGGCTGTCACTGTGAAGTGGAGATAATAAAGATCTCTTTTGTTGCTGTAAGGATTAGACGAGCAATGCATGATAACCCATGACATAATAAGCCCTCTGTAAATATTATTTGTGAAAGGGCCTATAATGGGTGTTCCTACATTTCTACCCTATTATGATTCATTTTCCACCCAGGGCTAGAGACATTTTAAAATATAAATCAAGTTCTATCACTGTCCTGCATAAAACCCTCTGACATCTTCAAAGTGCCCATTAGGCTCAGGATGAGTTCCAGACTCTCTTCTATGACCTGAAGACTCTGCAGGTGCAGCTCTCGTACACACTACCATCCATTATTTCCCTTACAGACTGTTCTAGTCACATTAGCTTTCTTGCTGTTTCTCAGACATACTGAGAACATTCTAACCTCAGTAATTTTGCTCTAGCGCTAATAATTTAAGGCCCAATATTATATATATGTTATAAATTTTTAAAAATTTTCTGCCCCTCTCCCACTAGATTGGAAACCCCAGGAAGGCAGGAATAAAATACATATTCACTTCCATAACCCCTGTGCCTACAACAGTGCCTGGCACATAGTAATTGCTCATTAAAATTTTGCTAGTGAATGAATGACTCAAGGTACAAAACCATACTCCCTTTCTTCTGCCTGCCCCTGCCTAGCTTGCTTCTTTCTGCTTTGACTTTTCCCAGCCTAGACAGCATTGTGGTAGGTGGTCTGGGCTTTTAACTGCAGTTTATCAAGGCAAAGGAAATTATTCTCTGGGAAATCATAACTTGACATACACATTGCCTTTTTACCACTTTGTTATGCACTAATGAATTATGTGGAGGAATAAATATTTCTAAGACACAAGTTGCCCGGCCAGGCCTTTTATCTTCCCTGTCAGAAGTCATAGAGGCCATTTATTACCCCCTCATTTTCCTTCTGGAATCGCAGCAGGAGGCTGCGGTAGGTGCACCCAAAACTTCCATCATTTATCTGATTTTTCACTTCATCAATAAATCTATCCTTGAATCTGGCCATCTGTACTTAATGTATCCAGGGAGTGGGCTAATTAAGCACCACGTTAGATAGACTCTTCAGAGGCAGCTGATAGCCTGGCATTCTCCCTGTGACCCATGGAATTTCTCCCCATAGGAAATAAATCCGAGCTCCGTTCCTTGAGCCGTGAAAGAGCAGATGCCAGCCCCTCAATTTTCCTGCCAGCTCCCCCACCCCGGCTGTGCCAGCTTCTTAGCCCTGCCCTCTTATGGCTACCTCTCTTAGGCTGTGGCTTAACCCCCAGAGCCTGTGACAGTCACATGGACATCATGCTGTTCACCTCATGGTTGTGGACAGGACTGACAGGACAGGACTGTAAGACCTTAGTATAGAGCAGGGCATGAAATGCAAGGAGAGGGGAGGAGGTGGAGTGTAACATGGTAGCAAGAATATGGGCTTTGGAATTCCCACAGATCTGAGTTCAAGGGCTGGTTCACCGGAGTTCAAAGAGCAGTCAGACCTTGAGCCAGTTATAAATCTAAGTCCTGTGTCGGTAGGACAGACCGCTGATGCCTTCTTCATGGAGCCCGTGGGAACTGTAAATGAAGCAGAGGGTGCAGTGTCCAGAGAGTGTCTGCATATGCATACAGTAGGCGTTCCATGATGCTGTACCCACCCCCTTCTTTAATTGTGAGTGATTTGTGGCCACAGTGACTGACAAAGAAACATGGATCCATTTACTTGATAAGGAGTAATTTTCTGTCTTCATTTTGTTTTTTAGCTTGACATAAAGGTACTGGAGGAAACAGAATTATTGGAGAGCTGTCTTGTTTTCAGAAACATTAGATAAATTAGGTTACATATTTTATTGTTCCTGAATACTGTGCAATAATTTATTTTCCTTCTTTGAAGGTGCCTGTTCCAACACCCCAAAGCGATGCTTTATTTTGTTCATGCTTGATGTGATCTGCTCACCCAATTTATGCCTTGTTCAAATGAACTTGCTTTAATACAATTTTAATTGTTTCTAATGCTTTAAATTAATTATAGCCATTTCAGTGGCTCCTCTGTGTCTTTGCTGTTTCTCTGTTTTGTCTCCATGGCAACCTTTCTTACAAAGAGGAGGGTGTGTGTGTGTGTGTGTGTGTGTGTGTGTGTGTGTATCTGTGTACACGTGCACACGTTCACGTTCCTCTTCTGTTCTGGATATTGACTTTTAAACTCTCTATTATCTGTTCTAGGGAGAAGGATTCTGGGCTAACAAGTGAAAGTTGTTTATTGTTTTCCACTTAGAACAATGCCTGGCCCAGAAGGTCAGCTGTGACCTCTTGTCCCCATTCCCTTTCTCTGTCTTCTTAGCCTGGGAGCAGCTCAGGAGAAAATCTGGGTGGGGTTGGTGCTGAAAGGACTTCGTGTGATGTTCAGAAATAATAAATTAATATTCATGGAGTGCTTCTGTGTGCCAGACGGGCGCCTTACAAATGTTAGCTGAGTTGATCCTTTTAACCACCTTGTGAGACTGAAGCCATTATTCTCACTCTAGAGATGAAGAAAAGGCACAAAGAGGTTAAATAGTTTGGCCAAAACTGCTCAGCTGGTGAGTGGTAGGACCAGGGTTTGATCTCAGGTTTTGCTGATGTCAAGTGACAAGTCTTCCCCCTTCTTCACGGCGACTCTTTCCCTCCCCCACTCAGTGCTGGTGACTTGCTCTGTTCTTTGGGGCCATCCAAAATGCTGCTCTTCTGGAAGCTTTCCTGATAAACCCCTGGGCACGTCTGCCCCTCCTCTGGCCTTGCTGCTCTTTGTCTTCCATTCCACTCCCTGGGGCCCTCCCTGCTCTATCATCTGCTTTCATGGCTTGTGTGAGCTAGAAGCAATGTATGGGGGTGCCTTTGTACCCATCATGTGCTCTCTTAGGTGGGTGCTTAGTAAATATTGAGCCCATTTGGGGAAAACCACAGGAGGAAAGGCAGAGGTGTTTTGCACAGTCACCCTATTCTGTAAAAATGCTAGAGTTTATTCCTTCCACTGCAGTGTTTTGCTGACCTGTGTAGAGCTGGCATCTACATGCATGCATGCTTGGGATGGCAGGGTAAAACCCAGCCAAGCAGCTTGTGAAATTCACCTGTCTCCTGCCCGGGTGTTGTAGGGTGCTTGCCTTTGCAGCACCAGAGAGTGTCACCTGCCCTGTCGTCAGAGTGGCCGAGCCTTGGTGATAGAACGCCGTCTGACTCAGGAAAAGGGAGGTGATCCAGGTTTCTCAGGTTTGGGTTGTCCAGGCAGGGAAGGAGGTGAGACATTAGCAGGAAAATTAAATCCAGGTGCACCTTCCTTCTCCTGTCTGCAACTGTGGGCTCACTGAGTGGGCCCCTTAGAGATTCTGGCAGGGAATCAGAGGAAGCACGAGGGGTGAGCAGAGCTGCACAGGGCTGAGGCTGTAAGTGGAACTGTGAACCATGGTTCTGTTGCTCACACCCAGTGCACATGTGCACAATCCCTCCTCCTCGGGCCCAAGGCCACACACTGACTAGCGAGAGCAGCCTTACTCAGAAGACACTTCAGAGCTTCTTGGTGGAACTGCCTGCAGCCCTGGCAGGAAACAAGCAGTCTCCTGGGGGAGCAGGGAGTGTCCTGGTGCTGTACTCACTGGGACATCACTCACCCGGCCCATGGGGTATCCACACCCTCCATGCCCCAGTGGATACTCTCATCCGCTCACCAGCGTGCAGCAGGACAGTGTGCATGTGCCTGGGCCTTTGCCAGTCGTTGCCACTGCAGTGGCCTGGTGACAGAGCATCCTTTGGGCTCTTAGCAGTAGGGTGGAGTTTGGTGGTAGTTTTTGCAGCAAATGTTGCCAGACCCATCTGCATATGGATTTCTGGCCTGAGAAGGCTGCTACCCCTGAGGGCTTCCTTTGCTGTTCTTTGC